GCTGTTTTTGTTGATCGTGCTGTGTTGGTATTGGTGGATACTGCAGGTGGGGGCTGACAAAAGCTTTGAAAAGATGTAGTTGAATTTTGGAGTCCATTTTGCTAAATCTTCGTAGTTTCGTGAGTTGTGATTGGGTAAGCGTTTTGCGTTGTGTTATGTGTTTTGCTATGCCTGTTCTTGCTATTGTGAGTCCCAGAATTTTGCCTTCGTTGGAGTATTGTATAGGTACGTTGTTGACTGTGATTGGTGCAGGGTTTATTTTGGCAATGTGTTTGATCTTTAGTTTCTGTGTATTGGTTTGTATTTTCCACTTTTTTTTTTCATATTCGTTGAATTGCTCGATGGCGTGGGCTGTTTTTCATCCCATCATCTGTTTGCCCTTGCCTGGATGTCGGATGATTTGGGTGACGTCATCAGCATAAGCTATGCATTCTCCGTGTGTAGGAGGTGGCATGTCCGCCGTGTATATTGTTTAGACTGTAGAGTGTTGGCGAGAGGTTACGTCCCTGTGGTACTCCGCTGTATAACTTGATGCTTGGGCCTATGTGGTTACCAATGATAACTTTGGCCTCTCTATTGTCAAGGAAGTTACAAAGAAAAGAAGTAAAGTTGTTGGGAAGTTCTTGGGTGGTAATTTTGTATTTGAGTCCTGAGTGCCAGACCTTGTCGAACGCGTTTACTACGTCCCTCAATTTGATATTTGAGTGGGGGATTTACCTTGTTTTGGTATAACTCTGATGCTTGCTGTTTTAAATTTCCTTGGGAAGTAACCAGAGGCAAGTGCTGCATTAAAAAAAATTTTCTGAGTTGGAGTATCATGTTGATTGGTAGATGCTGGAGTATGGGTTTGTTTGTTTTACTGATGCCCGGGTCCTTGTTCTTGAAACTGTTTATTGTTTTGTGTATTTCCTCTGCGGTGATTGGTTTGATCAGTGTGGAAAAATCGTCAAGAGTGTTTATGTCTATGCTGGGACTTGGTTGCCAGATGTGGGTTGTGTGTGTCATGTGATTGGTTACTGGTCGCTCTGTGTTCATACAGAATTTCAGGTTGTCTTCCTGGCTTATTTAAAAAAAATGCTCCAGTATTTCCTGAATTCAGGTTCTTGTATTTGGGTTCAGTTAATTTGATTTGGTTGCTGTTTAGAATGTAATTTGATTCGTTGCTGAAGATTCCCATTAGGTGTTTAATTTTCCGCCAGAATGCTTTCGGGTTGTGGAAAATTGCTTCTGTGTCTGCTATTAATTTCTCCCAGTTATTTACGTATGCTTCTTTGGACATGTTTCTTAGTTGTTCGTGTCTGGTGTAAAATTGTCTTCTGTATTTTGGAGTCCACCCTTTTACTGTGATTAATTTGAATAAATTACTGAATTGTGTCTGTAGAATTCTTGATTGATGTGAATATTGAGGGTGTGGTAATGTACGGTGAGTGGTCGTGGGTATGTGGTGTCAGGGAGGGAAGAAGTGATAAATGGCAGTGAAGAAATAAGCAAAGCATTGAACAGCTACTTCTTAGCAGTTTTCACAGAAGAAATTTGAGATGAAATTCCAGAGGTGGAACTGATATTTAAGGGAAAGGAAGAAGATAAATTAAAGAATATCACTATCAGAAAAGAGAATGTTCTTAAGAAGATAAATAAACTAAAGAAGACAAAATCCCCAGGGCCGGATGAAATTTTCCCTCGAGTCTTGAAAGAGTGTAGGGAACAGATTAGCGGACCCCTCGTAAATTTATTTACAAAATCATTAGACACTGGAGTTGTGCCAGACTTGTGGAAACAGGCAAATGTAGTACCCATATTCAAAAAGGGAGACAGAGCATCAGCGTCAAATTACCGGTCGATCAGTTTGACGTCAGTAGTGGGGAAATTTCTTGAATCAATTATAGCAGATAAAGCACTGGTCGCATCTAGAGAAAAGCAAATTAATCTACGACTCTCTCAACATGGGTTTACAAAGCGAAAATCTTGTCTAACAAATCTGCTAACGTTTTTAGGAAAGTCTTCGAGGTAGTAGATAATGACGGTACTACGATGTTATTTACTTAGACTTTAGCAAAGCATTTGACAGAGTACCGCGATCAGAGGCTTCTGAGAAAATTAAGGCTCATGGTATCGAGGGGAAAGTTTTAAATTGGATAAATAATGGCTCACCGATAGAACGCAGAGGGTCAGCGTAGGAGGTGTTAAATCTGAGTGGGGCCGTGTAACCAGTGGGGTTCCCCAGGGGTCAGTACTAGGCCCACTCTTGTTCATAATCTACATAAACGATCTAGATACTGGGATCAGCAGTGACATAAGCAAGTTTGCTGATGACACCAAAATAGGGCGGCAAATTAATTCAGGGCAGGATGCAAATCCATTACAGGAGGATCTAAATAAACTGCAGGGGTGGTCTGAAAAATAGCAAATGAAATTCAACACCAGCAAGTGCAGCGTACTTAATATTGGAAGAACAAATACTTATAATGTATACAGCCTTAACAACATCAACCTAGAGAAGTCAACTTGTGAAAGAGACCTATGGGTACTTGTAAGCCCGGACCTACGGCCTAGAAAACAGTGCGTTAATGTTCGAAATAAGGCAAACAGAGTATTGGGTTTTATATCTAGAAGTGTAAGTAACAAGAGTGCAGAGGTCTTATTGCAACTATATCTTGCGCTAGTCAGGCCGCACCTCGATTATGCGTTCAGTTCTGGTGCCCCTATTATAGAATAGATATAAATTCACTAGAGTCGGTGCAGCGAAGAATGACAAAAATGATTCCGGGACATAGAAACTTTCCATATCAGGATAGGCTAAAGAATCTTAACTTGCATTCCCTAGAAAGACGAAGAGTGCAGGGAGATATGATAGAAGTATTTAAGTGGGTGAAAGGAATCAATAAAGGGGATATAGATAAAGTTCTTATAATATCCGAGCAGGATAGGAGTCGGAGCAACGGATTCAAGTTGGATAAGTTTAGGTTTAGGAGGGAGATAGGAAGAAACTGGTTCACAAATAGGGTGCTGGACGAGTGGAACAAGCTTAGCAACTTTGTAGTAAGTGCGGAAACTCTGGAAAGTTTCAAAAGGAGGCTAGATAGATTCATGGATGATAGAGAGTGGTAGTAACTCTCGACAGGAGCTGCCATGCACAGGCCAACCGGCCTATTGCAGACTCCTTATTTTCTTATGTTCTTATGTTCTTTGCTTGGCTCACGTTTTCGTACCATATCTCTAGTGTGTTGTCTATTTAGGAAGTGCGTTTGTTGTTTAGTTGGGTGATTTGGTGATTGCTTAACTCCTTTTGGAATTCCTCCCAGTTGGACCGGCTGTAGCTGTATCTCATCCTGGCAGGGATCTGTATTGGCGACGTGGAGAGTGTGGCTACGATAGGGAGATGGTCACTGGTGGTTATTGGGCCGGGTTCCATTTGCAGGTTAAGATGGTGATGCTGGTTTGTTAGTACTATGTCTGGATGTCTGATTTGACCTGCTCTGATGTATGTGGGGAATTCCGGGCCAAGGTGTACTTTATTGCATTGCCGTGGCTCAGTAATGTGTTTAAAATCTTGCCTACGGCGTTGTTATCCTGGTGCCCCAAGACGCGGTGTCGTGCATTTACATCACCCAGAAAATATGCTGGTATATTTCTTCTCAGCAGTTTGAGCATGTCTGCTAGTGGGAATATGGGTCTTCTCGGAGGGAGGTAACAGGTGCCGATTAAATAGGTCCTGTTGGGCAGTTAATTTCGATAGCCTTAAAGTTTTCTTGAAATGAGTCGTGTATCTTGTGTTGTATGTTTCGTTTGATGGCTATGGCAATTCCATCATGTTGTGTGTCATGACTGTTTTTTTGGTAGACTGTGTAGTTAAATTTTTTTTTTCTGAGTTTTTCTTACCATGCGAATTTATGAGGATAATATCTGGCTCTATGTTACGGTATGTGCTATATAGTTCGCTTGCTCTCTGTGGGATCCATGCTAAGACATTGAGTTGGATTATTTTAACTGATATAGTTACAAAGTGCAAAAAAGTGGATACAATCTTAATATGTCGGTTATCTTGCCATTAGAAATGAAGTGTTGTGCCATTTCACACACAGTGTGCTTGGACCTGTCCCTAACAGGTTCTATCTTCACAGTTGGGTAGTTAGGGGTGGTGGCAGGACAGGAGTTGGGTAAGTAGGGGTGGTGGCAGGACGCCGTGTATATTAAAGGGTCTAGAATATTATATTCACTTCTACAGTACAAAAAAAACTGTGATACACAAAACTAATTCTTGTTTATTTATGTACACCTCTCAAGAAGCATAAAAATTATAATTGTTAGTTCGTATATTATTCTTCGTTGTACTGTATAGTGTTATTTGTAAACTGCACACGCACACATTCACCTGGAGAACCGTTGACACACATTATCAGTTTAAAATACATTTTAGCGAACAAATGTAAAGAAACATAAACAGCACAACTCTGTTAGGATTGAAGTGCAAACCTCTGATATGTATGTATCAAGGAGTCTTAAATTATTTGAAGTCAAAATTTTAATACTGTAAAAATACTTTGAAAAGGCGTTTGTTCCCAGCCTACGGTGGAGATACCGCGCTCGTTATTTGCTCCCGAAACTTAACAAAACCTAACCAAGCGTAACCAGAATATAAGGAATAGGCAGGCGATTATATCCCCAAGTTTGTCATAAAGTTGGGCTGCCAATTATTCACAAATATGAAATTTTCACTGTTGGACTGTCCAGTGATGGGTGGTCAATAAAGGGCATGGTGCATTCACGGTCGGGTGTACATAACGAGCGCGGTATCGATAAATCGAGTAAGAGAGTAGCCTTTGGAAGTGGGTGATCAGCAATGTTAATCCCTGATAATTACTTATTAGGCTACATGTAAAATCACAAGTAGATTCGTTGATATACATTTATGGTCAATATAAACATCATCAGTTTTTGTACTGCAGAACAAACGATATAAAAGGTAGTAGAAAAATCTAATCAGGGTCTGACTCTGACAGGTGGGGACGGTGTCACTGAGAGTGCGAGGTCCGCTCCTCACAGTCCACCCACTCAAGACGAAACCCTAGAGGATGACGTGTTCTGCCCCTCCACCTGTGATACTCCAAGTCCACACTTCCCGGGGCCCCAAGGCCTCGTGTCTCATGGTGCTACTGCACGTGTCATGCAACCCTATGCTTACACCCCTGCCTTGCGGCACCATATTCCTATGACATATGCACAGGCACCACACAGTGTTTTGCACAGTATTCTTCCGGATGCCACAGGATACCCACGCCCTGTGGTTACTCACGTGCGCACAAGTGGTCCAGAACACTCTAAACCCACCGAAACGGAGGATTCTCACCAGCCTGCACCTCACCGCCCCCCTACAAAGTGGCCTGGTTAGTGGCGTCCACTCACCTTCATCCTAGTTTATTAATGCAATGCAACGTTCATTTTCGTATTCTATATGACTGCTTTATATCTTTATATATATATATATATATGTATATATATATATATATATATATATATATATATATATATATATATATATATATGTATATATGTGTGTGTGTGTGTGCAAGTAAATCACTGTAGGTGAGCGTGATCCAGGTATATGCTGATAACCACAAGGAAAGAAAACACGAAGTTCCTAAGCGCTGTGTAATCTACATCTTCAGGGTGAGTACAGACTAAGGAGAAATACATAATATATATATATATATATATATATATATATATATATATATATATATATATATATATATATATATATATATATATATATATATATATATATACAGAGGAGGAATCCAGTCTCATTAAACATACCGAATCCGTCAACATGAATTTGAGTAATGGTATGTACAAACTGGATAATTTCGTTTACAAAGAGAAAATCTTGTCTAACAAATCTGCTGACTTTTTTAGGAAAGTTCTCGAGGTAGTAGATAATGACGAAAATTATGATGTTATTTACTTAGACTTTAGCAAAGCATTTGACAGAGTACCGCATCAGAGGCTTCTTGAGAAAAATTAAGGCTCATGGTATCGAGGGAAAGTTTTAAATTGATAAAATCATGGCTCACTGATAGAACGCAGAGGGTCAGCGTAGATGGTGTCAAATCTGAGTAACTGTGTAACCAGTGGGTTCCCAGGGTCAGTACTAGGCCCACTCTTGTTCATAATCTATATAAACGATCTAGATATTGGGATCAGCAGTGACATAAGCAAGTTTGCGGATGACACCAAAATAGGGCACCAAATTACAGGGCAGGATGCAAATGCATTACAGGAGGATCTAAATAAACTGCAGGGTGGTCTGAAAAATGGCAAATGAAATTCAACACCAGCAAGTGCAGCGTACTTATTAAAGAACAAATACTGACATTGTATACAGCCTTAACAACATCAACCTAGAGAAGTCGACTTGTGAAAGAGACCTAGGATACTTTGAAGCCCGGACCTACGGCCTAGAAAACAGTGCGTTAATGTTCGAAATAAGGCAAACAGAGTATTGGGTTTTATCTAGAAGTGTAAGTAATAAGAGTGCAGAGGTCTTATTGCAACTATATCTTGTGCTATTTCAGACCGCACCTCGATTATGCGGTTCAGTTCTGGTGCCCTTATTATAGAATGGATATCAATTCACTAGAGTCGGCAGCGAAGAATGACGAAAATGATTCCGGGACTTAGAAACCTTCCATATCAGGATAGGTTAAAGAAACTTAACTTGCATTCCCTAGAAAGACGAAGAGTGCGGGGAGATATGATAGAAGTATCTAAGTGGGTGAAAGGAATCAATAAAGGGGATATAGATAAAGTTCTTATAATATCCGAGCAGGATAGGACTTGGAGCAACGGATTCAAGTTGGATAAGTTTAGGTTTAGGAGGGAGATAGAAAGAAACTGGTTCACAAATAGGGTGGTGGACGAGTGGAACAAGCTTAGCAACTTTGTAGTAAGTCCTTATTTTCTTATGTTCTTATGTAATTAAGAAGATTTGTAACCAGGTGAGAAGGTTGGGTCATCTTACCCTCTGACCTGACTACCGACTGCTGCGTTGCTTTTTGAAGATTAGTAGGGTCATTACCTAATACCTGACCATTGTGGACTTGATGTCACCCTCCTTTGTGTATATATATATATATATATATATATATATATATATATATATATATATATATATATATATATATATATATAAAAAAAAAACACCAAAAAACCAACCCCACAAAAAAAAACAAACAAAAAAAAAAAAAAATATATATATATATATATATATATATATATATATATATATATATATATATATATATATATATATATATATATATATATATATATATATATATATATATATATATATATATATATATATATATATATATATATATATATTTCATGTAGATCCACAATGAAAAAGTGGATAAGACAAGGGAAACGATGGAGCACCTTAGCTTTCGTCTTTGTTGATGACATTTTCAGAGGCAACTCAAATACAAGGACAGAGAGAGGCTTAAGTACACAGGGTGACCTTACTAAACATGAGGTTAGGTCATAAACATAAGAAGAACATAAGAAAATAAGGAGTCTGCAATAGGCCGGTTGTCCTGTGGATGGCAGCTCCTGTCGAGAGTTACTACCACTCTCTATCATCCATGAATCTATCTACTCCTTTTTGAAACTTTCCAGAGTTCCAGCACTTACTAAAAATTTGCTAAGATTGTTCCACCTGTCCACCACCCTATTTGTGAACCAGTTTCTTCCTATCTCCCTCCTAAACCTATAACATATGACATCCACTACTCCGCACACTAACACCACCACACACGGAGATGAGCTTATAAGAAAGTGCGACGTAACTAGTCATGTTAAGTCAGGTAAAAAATATGTCACCCACTAATCATCTATCCTACATCTACCTCAAATGATTTCAAAGCATTTTTAACCTTGACAAATAAATTTGTGTAACATATTATCAGTTTTGTGCTGACCATCACTAAGGTTTAAATAATTAATTTCTCTAATCAAACTTGATTCAACCAAGAAGTCTTTCTGTAACACATGATGATTTATACACTTCTAAACTGTTTTCCCAATCTATGGGATGATTATTGTCCCTTATATGAACGAAAAGTGCACCGCTTCCAGATGCCGTTCTAATATTGTACAACACAAGTATTCAGAACATAAGAACATAGAAATAGACTACGCTTGAGCCTGTATGTGGCCATACTGGGCAGTCCTTTTACACCCTATTGCTCATATAAGCATCCAACCTATGTTTGAAGCTATTCAGCGTATTCGAGTTAATGATGATATTTGGTAACCTGTTCCATTCATCCACTATGTTTCCAAACCAGTGTTTACCTATTTCACGCCAAAATCTAAATTTGTCTAATTTAAAACCATTGTTGAGTTCGCTCTGGTTGATAGTTTGAGTACCTTTGTACTGTCCCTTTGTTTAGTCCTGACTTCCACCTTACACCTCTATCAGGTCGCCCTCGCTCTACGTCTCTCAGTGCAAATTAAGATATTTTAACCTGTCTCTATACTCAAGGTTCCTAATGCCCGGGATTAGTCTTGTCATTCTCTCATTCTTTCCAGCACAAGTACATTATTAGAACGGCATCTGACAGCAGTGCACTTTTCGTTCATATTAGGGACAATAATCATCTCATAGATTGGGAAAACAGTTTAGAAGTGTATAAATATATACACTGTATATATGTGTGTGTGTGTGTGTGTGTGTGTGTAGAGCCAGATATTAAGAATTTATGTTGTTGTTTTTGCGAAACCTTTGAATTTAGGTTACTTTCCCTGTTTGTCAAACCATCAGTGCCAAAAACTTTTGCCAACTTTTAAATATTTTGTAATGCACTGTTGAACATGTTCTGGTATGATATGATATGAAGAAAGACTAGCTTGTGCATTCATTAGAAAGCGTAGAGTTAGGGAGATATGATAAGGTGTTCAGTGGTAAGAGGGATTAACAAGGGTAAAATGGAAGATGTTCTGTGTAATAACTAACTAAAACACATATTTGTAAAATAAATATTCAAAAGGATATAGGCAAGCACTGGTTTTGTGTAGAGTTGTGTGAATATGGAACATACTGAGTGCTATAGTAGTCGGGGACGCTAGGGAGCTTCAAGACGAGTTGAATAGGCACATGGAAGTGCTGAGATGAATGTGAAAGGGATCTTGCCTGTATGGGCCAGTCGGCCTCCTGCAGTATCCCACTTCATGTTCTTATGTAAAAATTTTGCTAACCATCCTTAATGAATAACGTAAAATAGTCACCTACATACATTTCTAAATTTGTAAACCGTGCGCAACTTTTCCTCCCGACTTTACATGAAATCATCTTGATCAATTTTAGAAAGTTGATGACTGTGTGTTTTATCTACGCAGATAATGAGAGTGTTGTAAGGTCGCCGGACGTTGTTCCCGCCACCACTCCTGCCACTTGACTACACGTTCTGTAAGGTAAGACCCACGCCCTACTATCCTCACTTATCTAGCACCATCCTCACTTATCTAACACCATCCTCACTTATCTAACACCATCCTCACTTATCTAACACCATCCTCACTTATCTAGCACCATCCCTCCTTATCTTACACCATCCTCACTTATCCTCACCATCCTCACATATCTAACATCATCCTCCTTATCTAACACTCTTCCTTATCTAACATCATCCTCCTTATCCTTATCCTCATATCAACACTACCTCACTTATCTAACACCATCACTCCTTATCTAACACCATCCTCATATCTAACACCATCCTCACTTATCTTTGCCATCCTCCTTATCTAACACCATCCCTCATTCATCTAACACCATCCTCACTTATCTAACACCATCCTCCTTATCTAACACCATCCTCCTTATCTAACACCATCCTCACTTCCAACCATCCTCCTTATCTAACACCATCCTCCTTTTCCTAACACCATCCTCACTTATCTAACACCATCCTCCACTTAATCCTCATCTAACACCATCCACCATCCTCACTTATCCTAACATCATCCTCCACATATCTAACACCATCCTCATACCTAACACCATCCTCACTCATCCAACATCATCCTCCTTATCTAACACCATCCTCCACTTTCTAACACACCATCCTCACTCGTCTAACATCATCTCCTTATCTAACACCATCCTCACTTATCTTAACACCATCCTCACTTTCTTTCTCACTTATCTAACACCATCCTCACTGATCTACACCATCCTCACTTATCTAACACCATCCTCATTTATCTAACACCATCCTCACTCTATCTAACACCATCCTCACTTATCTAACATCATCCTCACCTCTATCCAACCATCATCCTCACTTATCTAACATCATCCTCATCTTATCTAACACCATCCTCATTTATCTAACAACCATCCTCACTTATCTAACACCATCCTCACTTATCTAACACCATCCCTCACTCTATCTAACACCATCCTCACTTATCTAACACCACCCCACTTATCTAACATCATCCTCATTTCATCTAACACCATCCCTCACTTATCTAACACACATCCCCACTTCAACACATCCCACTCTTAACCATCCTCACCCATCTAACACCATCCTCAATTTATCAACAACACTCACTTATCTAACATCATCCTCATTTATCTAACACCATCCTCACTTATCTCTAACAATATCCTCATTATCTAACAACCATCCTCACCTATCTAACACCATCCTCACTTATCTAACACCATCCCTACTATCTAACATCATCCTCAATTTCATCTAACATCATCCCTCTTATCTAACCATCCTCAATTTATCTAACATCATCCATTTATCTAGCACCATCCTCACTTATCTTTACACCATCCTCACTTCATCTAACACCATCCTCACTTCATCTAACACCATCCTCAACATACCTCATTATCTAACATCATCCCACTTATCTACACCTCACTTATCTAACACCATCCCTCACCTATCTTAACACCATCCTCACTCTTATCTAACACACTCCACTCACCTCAATTTATCTAACCATCCTCACTTATACACACCCACTTCATCAAACCATCCTCACTTCATCTTCCAATCATCCTCAATTTATCTAGCACCATCCTCAATTTCATCTACACCATCCTCACTTATCTAACACCATCTCAATTGATCTAATTAACCATCCTCACTTTCACTAACATCATCCTCATTTATCTAACACCATCCTCACTTATCTAACATCATCCTCATTTATCTAGCACCATCCTCACTTTCATCTTACACCATCCCTCCACCTCTATCTAACACCATCCCTTATTCAGCACCATCCTCACTTATCTTACACCATCCCCCCAATTATCTAACATCATCCTCACTTATCTAACACCATCCTCACTTATCTTACCACCATCCTCACTTATCTAACACCATTCCTCACTCTATCTAACACCATCCTCACTTATCTAACACCATCCTCCTTATCTTACACCATCCTCACTTCATCTCACCATTCTCACTTATCTAACACCATCCTCAATTTATCTAGCACCATCCTCACTTATCTTACACCATCCTCACTTATCTAACACCATCCTCACTTATCTAGCACCATCCCTCATTTATCTAGCACCACTCACCTTATCTTCACCATCCTCACTTATCTAACACCATCCTCACTATATAACACCATCCTCACTTATCTTACACCATCCTCACTTATCTAGCACCATCCTCAACTTATCTAGCACCATCCCTCACTTCTTACATCCATCCTCTTACACATCCTCATATAACATCATCCTCATCTAAACACCATCCTCACTTATCTAACATCATCCTCACTTATCTAACACCATCCTCACTTATATAAACCATCCTCACTTATCTAACCATCCTCATTATCTAACACCATCCTCACTTCATTCAACCATCCTCACTTATCTAACACCATCCTCACCTATCTAACACCATCCTCACCATCTAACATCATCTCATTTATCTAACACCATCCCACTTTTCTAACATCATCCTCATATAACAACTCCTCACTTTAACATCCTCTAACACCATCCTCACTTATCTAACACCATCCTCACTTATCTAACACCATCCTCACTTATCCAACACCATCCCCTATATCTAACACCATCCTCACTTATCTAACATCATCCTCATTTATCTAACACCATCCTCACCTTATCTAACACCATCCTCACTTATCTAACACCATCCTCACTTATCTAACACCATCCTCACCTTCATTCAACACCATCCTCACTTATCTAACATCATCCTCACCTTATCCAGCACCATCCTCACTTATCTACACAATCCTCACTTATCTAACACCATCCTCACTGACTAACACCATCCTCACTTATCTAACATCATCCTCATTTATCTAACACCATCCTCACTTATCTAACATCATCCCAATTTATCTAACACCATCCTCACTTATCTAACATCATCCTTAATTCAGCATCATCTCCTCCTTATCTTTATACCCATCCTCACTTATCTAACACCATCCTCACTTATCTAACATCATCCTCACTTATCTAACATCATCCTCATTTATCTAACCATCCTCAATTTCATCTACACCATCCTCACCTTATCTAACACCATCCTCACTTTATCTAACACCATCCTCACTATTCAACACCATCCTCATTTCTATCTTACACCATCCTCACTTATTCCAACACCATCCTCACTTATCTAACACCATCCTCACCTTATCTTACACCATCCTCACTTATCTTCACCATCCTCACTTATCTAGCACCATCCTCACTTATCTTAACCATCCTCACTTATAACACCATCCTCACTGATCTAACACCATCCTCACTTATCTAACATCATCCTCATTTATCTAACACCATCCTCACTTATCTAACATCATCCTCATTTATCTAGCAACCATCCTCATTATCTTTACACCATCCTCACTTATCTAACAACCATCCTCACTTATCTAGCACCATCCTCACTTTCATCTACATCATCCTCATTTCATTCAACATCATCATCACTTCATCTAACACCATCCTCACTTATCTTACACCATCCTCACTTATCTAACACCATTCTCACTTATCTAACACCATCCTCACTTATCTAACACCATCCTCACTTATCTTACACCATCCTCACTATGTAACACCATTCTCACTTATCTAACCATCCTCACCCTATCTAGCACCATCCTCACTTATCTTACACCATCCTCACTTATCTAACACCATCCTCAATTTATCTAGCACCATCCTCATTTATCTAGCACCATCCTCACCTCATTTTCTTAACCATCCCTCACTTATCTAACACCATCATCCTCAATTTATATAACACCATCCTTACTTATCTACACCATCCTCACTTATCTAGCACCATCCTCACTTATCTAACCATCCTCACTTATTAACACCATCCTCACTTTCATCTAACACCATCCTCACTTATATAACACCATCCTCACTTATATAACACCATCCTCACTATCTAACATCATCCACATTTATCTAACACCATCCTCACATATATAACATCATCCTCACTTATCTAACACCCCATCCTCACCTTATCAAACATCCCTCACCTCTATCTAACACCATCCTCACTTATCTAACAACATCATCCTCACCTTATCTAACCATCCTCATTTATATCCAACATCATCCTCATTTATCTAACACCATCCTCTTATCTAACATCATCCTCATTTATCTAACACCATCCTCCTTATCTAGCACCATCCTCACTTATCTTACAATCATCCTCACTTTATCTAACACCATCCTCACTTATCCAACACCATCCTCACCATTCTTCTAACATCATCCTCATTTATCTAACACCATCCTCACTTATCTAACATCATCCTCATTTATCTAACACCATCCTCACTTATCTAACACCATCCTCACTTATATAACACCATTAATTCATATATAACACCATCCTCACTTCATCTAACATCATCCTCATTTATCTAACATCATCCTCACTTATATAACACCATCCTCACTTATCTAACAATCCTCACTCATCTCCAACATCATCCTCATTTATCTAACACCATCCTCAATTTATATAACAACTTCATCCTACACCCAACACCATCCTCACTATCCAACACCATCCTCACATATATAACAATCCTCAATTTATCCAACATCATCCTCACTTATCTAACACCATCCCCTCTATCTCAACATCATCCTCATTTATCTAACACCATCCCTCCATCTAACATCATCCTCATTTATCTAACAACCATCCTCACCCCTTATCTAGCACCATCCTCACCTCATCTTACAACCATCCTCACTATCTAAACCATCTTCATCCCCATCTAACACCATCCTCACTTATCTAACATCATCCCTCATTTATCTAACACCATCCTCACTTCATCTAACATCATCCTCATTTATCTAACACCATCCTCACTTATCTAGCACCATCCTCACTTATCTAACACCATCCTCAATTTATCTAACACCATCCTCACTTTATCTAACATCATCCTCACCTTATCTAGCACC